GTAGGTCACCGTGACCTACTTTTTGGTCGTCACTCTCCGAAAACCCACGATGCATCAACTCACAAAGTTTGATGATTCTAAGCCAATAAATACCTAAGATACTTATATATAGCCATAAAATGTCGAAAATAGGTCACCGTGACCTACATTTTGGTTGACATTTTTCAGAGTCTCAAGATGCATCTCCTGACCAAGTTTAATGATTGTAGGTCTGAAGGTAATCAAAAAATGCCTTTTAAACAATTTGAAAACATATGCCTGCAAAATTTTAAAAGTAGGTCACAGTGACCTACTTTTTCTTAAATATGTTTTTAGGTCCCAAGATGCAGCAACTTACAAGATTTGATGATTCTAACCCTTTTAGTGCCTGAAATAATGGGATTTAATGTTTTAAAAAGGTTAAGTCATAAAGTTCAAAAAGTAGGTCACGGTGACCTACTTTTTGGTCTTCTTTATTTGAGGACCCAAGATGCATCAACTGACTAAGTTTCATGATCATAGGCCTTAAAGTGTCCAAAATATGCCTTCAAATCAATTTGAAAACAAATGCCCGCAAAATTTAAAAAGTAGGTCACCGTGACCTACTTTTGAGTTAACAGGATGTGAAGTCTTAAGATGCATCAACTTACAAGATTTGATGATCCTAGCCCGTATAGTAAGCAAAATATAAACATTTTTATTAATTGTAAATTTAGGTCAACTTCAAAGTGACCTTGAGGCCACGCCCTTTGCCCCAGGGTCATGCCTTGAACAATTTTTAATCTTCAACATATCCTGATCCTTGTATGTAAGTTTGGTGAAAATCTGCCTGGCGGTTCTGGAGAAGAAGATTTTTTAGCAACTAGTACTTTTGGTTTTGTTTTCCTGATTATCTCCCCTTGTGTTAGGATCCCAACCCTTATTTTAGTATAAATGGTAGCCCTTGGGCCAAGGATACCCTGTGGCAAATTTGGTACTGATTGGCAAAGGGGTTCTTGAGTTATGGCCCATATTCTAAAAAGTTAACGCACACCGCACAAATGGCCATAGCATTAACTCTTTGAGCCTTTGGCTCAGAAGAGCTAAAAAGGGCACTTAATGTTCAATGTTTGAACCTTCTTTTTTGAGAAATCTAATAATACATAACGAAGAGATATTTCTAATCACAGACACATACAATGTCCCAGCGGTGTAACTGCTCCCTGAATATGTATGTTTTACACAAAAAAAACATCAAGTACTCGATTGATTAGTAATACAGGAGCGGGAGAAAACGTGTCAAAAATGATTATTCATGTAATTCATGCATCCTCACTCGTCGGAGTAGAGGGAATGCGAGGTGAACAGTACTCCCTCGAGCTCCTCGTTCACTTTGGCGATCCTTTTTGAGAAGTTTTTTAATGTCTTTTTTATTTGAATTTTTTTTTCAATCAGGTCCTCTTCGTAGTTAAGTAATATCTGTCTGAAAAAAAGATAAATATGCTGATAAAATTTCAACTCTTAATATTGTATGTGAAAGAATATATAATCTATTAAAACGTCAAAATACACATCTGTGGTCGGGCATTGAGACGCCCAACTTCTCATCATCCGAGCTGTCGTCGGAAATGACTATTACATCCCAAGCGTCATTTGAGGCCTCGGAGACTGACTCCATTTCGATGTCATCCAACCATCCGATTGAATTTGCATGCTCTCTAGGTATTGGAAAAAATGAACAGGACATACAGAAATCAGTTATTTTCAATAAAAATCATTCTTTTTTATACTTGTATCTACTTTGTACATACTCCGATTCCAAAGAAAAAACCACTGGTGGCTCCTCAGTCGGAAAGAGTTCTTTCCTCACAGATGGTTTATTGGTCTTTCATCTGGTGTTGTATGCCTTTCATCAAGTTATCAAACTGATTTTCCGTAAGAAGGGGGGGGCCCAATAATGGTTCAACATGAACGTTTGTGGTAACAAATTGTCTAAATATTTTGAAAATAAATGAAAACAAGAGGCCCAGGGGCCACATCGCTCACCTGAGTGAGACCTTTACTTGCAAGAATTATATGTGAATGTAGATGTTAGAGTATGGACTTCCTCTTTTTTTCATTTACTGTACAGTAATTCGGCTTGATCTAAGCATAAAATTGCTAAGAATGGCTTTCTTTTCAACCAGTGCTTAATGCCTACCTCATTATCAATATAGACATGAAGAGGTCAATCTCAGTATTTCTGCAGAATATAGCACTTGTACTGTCGACTCTGAAGTTAGTATGCTTTTATTGAACAAAAACATTTCAATCTCTCCTTTTTTTTTGGGGGGGGGGGAACATTAACTATCATGATAGTTATAATAAAAACAGAAAATGTGAATAAGATTTAAATTTTTATTTCTTTACAAAATTCAACAGATTTGATGAAAATTTATCAGACAATTAGTAGAGAATATAATAAAAACTTAGAAGCGTTAATAACAATTAACTATCTAAATTTTATATAACTTCAACAGACATATATATATATATGCACAAAGTATCAAAGATGCAATATTGCAACAATTTTGTGACAGAAATGCAAAACTTTCTGACAATAACATTACATGTACACATAGATGCTTTGTAAACAGTTCAAACATTTGTTTGGAGGAAAGTTCAATACATCAAAGTAATCATTTGAAAGATACGAAATACACTGTATTTATTTTTAAGTTCACTTAATAGTAAATCTTTCCTTTACATAACGAAAGCGAAAATTGGAAAGATTGCAACTGAAAGTGAATAATAATAAGATGGTCAACAGACTCTGACTTTGAATATTAACTATAATTTTAAAGAATTTTTAATAAGTAACATTTACTTGGAGTACTTGCAGTAATCAGATTACCTAAACTTAATGGCAATATTCCAAAATGGAATGATTAAGATCTTTCTGCACTCAATAATTTTGATTTTAAAGACCAGTCATGAGAAATTATAGTGATCCACCTTTTTTCCTCTCTTTTATAGAAAAAATGTAATGTTATAAAGAGGTAGGTTTACCTCCCTTTACGGGCTGTCCATTGACCCCCTCTTTTCATACTTACCTGGGTATAAATGTTTAATATATAGTCGATTCTCATTAGATTATAATATAATGGTGGTCACATATTAAATATCTCAATGCTGGAGAAAATGAAATATCAACTACCAGTAATACAGAGTTCACTGAAATCAGCAATATACTAGTAACTTAGAAATGAGTTGTCAGTTTCTCTCTGATTATGCAGGTTGGTTTCTTATTCTACACAGGTAACAAAAGCTAGTAAAGTAAATGTTTAAAGCAATTTCTGAATGTTTTGAAATACAAAAATACAATAAACTTAAACATTTTAAGACAAAAAAAATAACAAAAGATAAATAGTCAAGTTAAAATATTTCGACATAAAGTTTCATATATACAATGAACATTATTTGAAAACAAAATCATGTAAACGATATATATCCAAAAAAAATCTCTAACAACGCTGTGCTCTCAAAATTCATGTATCAAATTCTAATTTATCTACAAGAACAAACAAGTTACTCTAAAGAAAATTGAAAAATCAATAAGTATGCTGGTTGGTCATGCAAGTATTTCATTTTTAGTTGCATTTACTGGTTAATTTGTTGACCATCCAGCCTGTTTTAAGCCTCAGCAATTGTGATATGTAGAATACTGCATGAGGTTGATTATAATTTAAAGCAATTACATGAAAACATGAATTACATGTGTGATAAGAATATTTACACTGAAATTATTATTAGATTTGATCTGGAAAAAATACTAATTCATATACACTGTAAAAGTTTATTTCGGTACTCTCAGATACTCCAGTATTGTTCTGCAGAGACTATATGACACAAGACGGTCAGTAACATTCATAAACTTACAATATTTCTATACAGCAATTTTTTCATGAACAGATATTTGGTGAATTTACTTCATAAAATTATAGAATAGATTGTTGAACATACAATGTATATCAAAGACACCAATTACTTGATGCAAGTGTATTTATTTCTAGTACAACTCTAATCATTATCTAGCAACTCATTAAAGTCTTTATACATTAAACTTTGTAAACAATTCATGTAATATCTCAAAATATTTCATGTATATTCAAAATACCAAGTTCATGATATTCATGTATCATTAAAGAAAAGAATCTAAACAGTAAGGGTAAAACTAAGTCACAAACATCAATACAGTTAAATATTCATAATTTATAAATATTAATTAACACATAATATGTACAATGATCATCATTTTTTGACTTGAATGATTATCATTTATGGAACATGAATTTTCCTTAACATGCAACATTCAATCATTTTGTACATTTATTAATTGTCTGTTGAAAATTAATCCACAATAAAAAGTCATAATGAAGGATTCCTGTTTAGTACAATTGTTTTTGTAAGTTTGAGTTGTTTGCAAATTTTCCATGCATATAAAAAATAGTTTAAAGTATACATATGCCTAAAAACAAACAAGATTTTACATCAAGTAATTGGTGCCTATAAGATACTGTATACAGGGAAATATTCGCCCCATTTTATTTTTCCCACAGTCACTCCATAATCTTAGAGGTATAGACAAATTTACGACGGGGTAAATTAAAAGAACATAGTCTGATTTCTTCAATAAAACTGTGACTGGGGAGAATTTAAAACGTTGCAAAATTGTGTGAAAGGCTGAAAATAACACAGCCAGGGCGAATATAACCCTGTATACAGGAATCAATGTACCAAATGTCACTAAGTGACACTGGCACATTGGTAGGTGGGAGAGGGGACAAGATGACGTATCTCCCCCAAATAAGTTCTCATGCGTCCCTTATATCAGATTTATAAAGTATATGTACAGTAAATCATTTTATGGTCTGACCAATATGCCTCAATCACATCAGTTTCACAATGAGGGAAGTTTGTAAAAATCAAATCAAGTTGTGAACCTGAATCATGAGTTACTTTTTTTACCAATTGTGTGCAATTAAAATTCATCTTCATAAAGTTCAGAAATTCTTTGTGACCTGTAAACAAATCAAAATTGAAATCTCCAAGAATTATTAATTTTTTCTCTGTGTCTACAAAGGGTTTTAAGTGCAACATAACTTCACGTTCAAATTCTTTAAAAGAACATGCTGGGAACTTGTATAAAACAACTACTTGCACTTCTCCAAAGTCTCTGAAATTTATTAAAGCTATAATGAATTCAAGCAAAGTATTGCTGAATTTTAAGATACTTGTCATCAAATGGTCTTGTTTAACGTATAATGCTGTTCCATGATGAGGACGATTGCTGTCACTTCTCTTTTCATGATTAAACAAAGTCAAGTAACCTTCCATCATAAAATTCTCTTCATCATTGATGGTTAATCTTGTTTCTGAAAAACCAATAACATCTGATGCTACAACATTGGGTTCATTTTTAATTTCATCGAAATGTTTGTGAAGAGATCTTGCATTATTAAACATAATTTTTAGTTTGTTCTGCTCTGTTTTGTACAATGGAAGATAACACAGTTTTAGAGGTGCTTCCTTCCTCATTCTTTCCATTTCTTCTACAACTTTTTCATCAACAGTTAATGCTTGCTCATTGAAATTCAGAATATGCAACTTGTCAACAGATCTAACTCTACTAAGAGCTACATAATGAATGTGTGGTGTTTTCCTTATCCTTGATTGAGACAAATCTACTACAATTTCATCAACAGTGCAGCCCTGAGCCTTATGAATTGTCTTACCAGCAGCTGGTCTTAAAGGAAACTGTATTCTTTGATATGTAGTTGAATTGAAAACAAAAGATCGCTGACAGTCAAATATTGGTGTCCAATCATCCATAACATCATCATGGAAAAGATGTCTGTATTTCTGTCGAGCAACTCTCCCAACTGCAGAATCTAAAAACTTCACCCACACTATACTTGGCCTTGATACACCAGCTAATCTGTTTTCAACAAGAAATACAGTACACGATGAACCATTTGTCAAGCCATCAGTAACATCAATATTAACTGTAATGTCATATATCATTCCAATGGCTAGAGTTAGTCTTGTCATGAGATTTGCAGTTTTGCTTACATCATCTTGATTTTGCAATGATCTGAGTAGTCGGTCTTTCACAGACTTACTGTGGTCTTGGAGGACACTGTCAACAGCTTTTACAATGACTTTTTCACCAGGAAGTTGCTCTATAAGTTTATTGTTATATTCATCTACTTTTGCATTCATTGTGAAAAGATGGGGAGCATTGTGTGGATAATTTGGACTATTTTCAGCAATGATGCATCTGTGAATTATATCCAAGTCCTCAGAAGTCATCTCATTGTGACGAAGACGGTTCAAAAGCTGTGCAAATTCTAAATCATCCTTTTGTCTCATTACTTCATCTAACTCAAATAAGGTGAAGTTTTCTTTCCAAAGATTACATGCAAGTGCTTGGGCATTTTGCTTTAAATCCTGAAAAATCCATCCATCCATGATTGGTTTAAGTTGAAAGAAATCTCCAACAGCAATAATACTAATGTCTCCAAATGGCCTCTTCAAACCAGTAAGAAGCTGAAGTCTGTCATTGATAAATTCCAACTTTGCATTGCCAACCATCGAAATTTCATCTATGATGACTACTGACAAATTTCTATACTTAGTTCTAAATGTGTTGAGTTCATCACAATGCATGTTTTGCTGCCTATGGTTAATTTTCTGGTGAAATGCAGAGCAATTGTTTGACCACCAATGTTAAATGCAGCTTTACCAGTGTATGCACAAAGAAGAATTCGTATATCGTCTGGATTTTCTCCCTCCTTAGTACATAAATACCGATGTAAAGCTTGATAAAGTGCTCTGATTAACACTGACTTCCCAACGCCTGCACCTCCTGAAAGATATGCATGAATAGGTTCCTGTTTACATTTGATCCATTGCATAACATGATTGAAGAATTCACGTTGCTTCAAATTTAAACTGGCTACAAGCTTTAAATATTCATCATCAGGTAATCTAACAGAACTCTGCTCATTCAGTTGTCTTGTTGATGGAATTCCAACATCACTTCCTATATCATACTCTCTGTGTTCAATTGGCCTTTCCGGATTAAAGTGAACAAATGTTTCAGAATCAACATTTCCTTCATATTCATCATCTGCATCAGTTTGTTGAGCACCAGGAGCTAATTCATCATATGCTTCTGTCAAATCATCCTGTGCCATCTGTTCTGCATGCTCAAGCGCATCAGCATTGTGTTCATACTGTTTGACTTTTTGAGCTAAGAAAAATTTTTTCTGGTTGAATGACTGCTCAAAGCTCTGATGTCCACACAAAAGATCAGAACATTCATTTCGCCATGGAGTGAACAGCATTAGTTTTTCTCTATAGTAATTTTCTGGGTTTGTCTTTAAGCTATAACGCACATATCTTATAACTCTTGGTGTTTTTCTGCGCTTGATTTTAATTCCATTTCTCAACACAACTAATGTGCTGTCATCTTTAAATTCATCCTCAGTATCAGTTCCACTATCTTCATTTTCTGACTGGCGCCTCTCATCATCATTTGTTTCCATTTCAGACAGCTCAGTTATACTTTCCTTTGGGAAAACTACATCTAACTGTGACACATAGTCAGCTAAACACCAGTTTTCAAGTTGTTTTGGACGTTTTGCATATCTTTTGACTATGTTACTGCATTCTATGTCTGTGGAATTAGCATTCAACTTTTCGAGTTCTGAATCAGGTTTGACAAGTATTACACGGTCATCAACTGGAGATGTGTTTATGAACATTACATCTCTTGATGCTTTTGTAAGGGGCATTTGCAAAACTAGATATGCTGCTTCTTGTGCTCCAACTTCAACACTGTTAAGAAATTGATTTCCAATGTGTCTAACTTGTCTCTTAATGTCAAGATTGCCCTCTCTTGCTTCTTTTGCAGCTCTACTCAGCAGATCACTCATGCCCCTTTGGGATTTACTTATGTATGAGACAATGTACATTGCACAAGCATATGGATCCAAAACATACTGAATATCAATGTTTGCAGCCCATGCATAAAGAAGAGTACTGTTGTAAGCATTCACTCTCAAGTCACAGGGTTTACGTCTTAAAAATACCTTGGGTGTTCTCAAAGAACTTCTGATGCATTTTATATAATCATCTTCAGATAGTTGTAGAACATTCTGCAAAAAGTCTTGGAAAGTGCAGCTTATGTCACATCCATTTTTAAAGTCATTCACTTTGTCTTGCATAGTCTTATGCATTTTTTGTATTTCTCAATGTCACTGTCCAAAGGTTCCAATATCATAGTAGCTTGGAGTGGTGGAAGTGGAAATCCAAATCTACAAACAGCCTTTCCTTTCTTTTTGCATGTTTGTGAGTGTTTATGAACTTGCAATTCTATCAAATTGTCTTCTGTATTCCTTTCACACTTCAAGTAGCTGTCAACAAATGCAACAATTTCCTTGTTATCATTTTCTAAGTATTTTGGAGCATTTTCAATCCAAACAATCATGTGAACATGTGGTGATCCCCTTTGTTGAAATTCAACTCTATAGAAAAAGTCCTGTATCTTTCCAATAGGATGATGATCACTCTTAAGCACAGTATTTAAAAAAGTCCGAAAACGATGATCAAAATACCTTGTACATGTAATTGGGTCTTTCTGAACTAACTTTGACTTTTCAGTCCATGTCATGCTCTCAATTTCAGAATCTGTGTACTGTTTGTCATCGTTTAAAACTCCTAGTGCTCTGATCAGATCATTCCAACGTGTATCTGCAGCAGAAAAGGACATAAACCAAGTTGGTAGACCAAGCTGTCGTATCATTGCAAAAACATCTTTCTTTCTTGTTTCAAGATAAGGAGGAGAATTTCTCAACTGTTTGAAAACATAAAATCCCTCATTGTGTCTAACAATGTCATTGACTTGATCGGGATTTCTTATTTCATTTGCAGTAATGGTTTTCCCCTTTGTTTTGCACTTCCTAAGGGCTAAATTGCATTTGTCTGTTACCTGTTTTAGTTGAATCTTTTTCAGTTTGAAAAACAAATTTGGTACCGACTGTGCAGCACGTCTATCAACACTTCGTAATTCCCACTTGGCAATATCAGCATATGAAACAGGTACTTGACGCTGATCATTTTCTACTCTTCCTTTTCCACAAAATATTGTTGGAAATGACAAATACTCGGCCATTTGATCTTGATACAAACTAAGTGGACGTTGTCCCTCTCCTGGAGCAAATGTGAAGATCTGATTCATATCATATGAGTCACTGTCTAGTAGAGTATCACAATTTCCATCCTTACCACTATCAACTTCACAGAATTCCTCAGAGTCCGATTCATCTGATTGGTCATGCATTGCTGAATCTTCATTGGTGTGACCCTCTATAAACTCTCTCATTAATTCACTTGCAGAATTGGTGACCTCATGGAACCAGTTGTCATCTATGTTTATGTTTGAATTCTGATAATATTCACTGTTTTTCAACAACCAATGTAAAGCAATCAGAACCTTTGTAGGTCGGATGTTTTCATGACAATAAGAGTGCTGAAAAGATAGTTTTCTTTTTAACTTCACAGGTATTGTAATATTTTCATCAAGTCTCCTGGGAAGACTATTGATTGTTGGTTGAATGTCAACTGGCACATTTACAACATTTCCTTTTACAGAGTACTGCCCTCCTCTTGGTAATTCTCTTATCTGCATGAAGGGAATTCTTAAGGATACAAGTCTTTCTTCCAATGGTAACAGATTCAATTCACTTGGTTTTTGAATCCATATCATTCCATTTGTAACAGAGAGTTTTGGAGTTCGACTTTCTTTTAAACTTGAATTGCATGTGTTGCATATCCATTCCTGCCCGTTTACAGACTTTGTATTAGTAAAATACTTCCTTTTGATTTCAGCATCCAACAAAACATTATCTACATTTGAAACACTTTCATGAAACCATGTCTGTTGGCAACATGTGCATACAAACACAGGACCTAATCTTACATTGTTGTGAAAATTGTCAACACACTCAATTATATCAACTCCAAATTTACTTTTTCTGTATCTTTGTTTTTCAGTTTCAATATAGTCCAAATTCCCCCGTGAGTGTGCTTTTGATTGTTTTGCAGCAATATTTTCTGATGATCTATACTCTTCATTTTTTCTCTTTTCTTTCATCTTCAATCTCTCTTTTTCTAACTGGCTAGAATTTTGTCTCATTTCTTTTTTCTTCTTTAAATCTCTTTTTTGCTCATCATGCTTATACTCTTCTTCTTGCCTTTTATATCTCTTACTGTCTCTTTCCTTGTCTTTAAACTCTGCATCTTGTCTTTTGTTTCTCATACGGTCTCTTTCGTTGTCTTTAAACTCTGTATCTTGTCTCTTGTTTCTCTTACTGTCCCTCTCTTTTTCTTTAAACTCTGCATCTTGTCGTTTGTTTCTCATACTGTCCCTTTCCTTGCCTTTGAACTCTGTATCTTGTCTCTTGTTTCTCTTACTGTCCCTCTCTTTTTCTTTAAACTCTGCATCTTGTCGTTTGTTTCTCATACGGTCCCTTTCGTTGTCTTTAAACTCTGGATCCTGTCTCTTGTTTCTTTTAATGTCCCTTTCCTTGCTTTTAAACTCTGGATCTTGTCTCTTGTTTCTCTTACTGTCCCTCTCTTTTTCTTTAAACTCTGCATCTTGTCGTTTGTTTCTCATACAGTCCCTTTCCTTGTCTTTGAACTCTGGATCTTGTCTCTTGTTTCTTTTACTGTCCCTTTCCTTGCTTTTAAACTCTGAATCTTGTCGTTTGTTTGTCTTACTGTCCCTCTCTTTTCTTTTAAACACTGCATCTTGTCGTTTTTTTCTCATACTGTCTCTTTCCTTGCCTTTGAACTCTGGATCTTGTCTCTTGTTTCTCTTACTGTCCCTCTCTTTTTCTTTAAACTCTGCATCTTGTCGTTTGTTTCTCATACAGTCCCTTTCATTGTCTTTAAACTCTGGATCTTGTCTCTTGTTTCTTTTACTGTCCCTTTCCTTGTCTTTGAACTCTGGATCTTGTCTCTTGTTTCTCATATATTCTCTCATGTATTCCTTTTTATCTTTCTTTATCGCTGTTGTTTTTAAGTGACCAGTATTGGTACCAGCAGATTGTTTGCTTGTGAGAGGAGTTGTTGTTAACTGATCTAATCTACAATATTGATGTGTACTTTGATTATTACTAGGGAAGCTATGAATAAGTGTACGAAAGGCAACAGGCATCACTTCAAATTCAGTTTCAAATTCAATGTGCATACTTTCATACATTGCATACAGAAATCCTAACAAATCATCTAAGCAGCAACTGTGTCTCATCAGAGACTTTCCATCACATTCAGACAAACCATTTTCCCCATGAGAATGCGAGTCAAAAAAATAAAAATCACTGTCTGAATCTTTGTACAGTGCAGAACATATTGAGCCAATCATTATTAATACATATCTAGATAACCCTAATGCTTGTTGCAGACATTCATGTAGAGTTTGAATTTGATTTCTCTTATCATCTGTAACTAATAAGCCAAACAATGTTTCAAACTTATCAACCATGTGGTGATTTTCACCAGAATCAATATGAACTGGTAATTCATCA